AGGATCAAGAGAGGATAAATACAGATGTTTCATCTACAGCAGATCTCCCTAGCCATTTTTTTCTCAGCACTTTGAAGAGTTATGAATCTCTGCAGTAACTACCACCCACTAGAATATGAAGATTCTCTGCCTAAGGTTGAGAGCAGCACACATTTATAAATACGAATATGAATGTTTAGAAGGCAGTTTGGCAAGATGGTTATTTAGTAAAACAACATCAATAGGTCCTCCCCTTGGGCCAATGACCTCTCTAACCTTGGTTTTTGTTTTTATTTTTGTTTTTTTTTTATTTTTGTTGGGAAATGTTGTGGGATGTCTTTCTGTATGCTGTGAATATGTGGGGCTCCCACTGGATAATAAATAAAGCTGTTTTGGCCTATGACAAGAAAGTTTACAGCCAGGTGGAAAATCCAAGCAGAGATACAGAGAAGAAGGGTGGAGTCAGGAGAGAGGCAAGCCTGCTGCCCAAGGAGCAACAAGATGCCAGCAGACCCGTAACGCCACGGCCACGTGGCCACATATAGATTTATAGAAATGGGTTAATTTAAGATGAAAGAGCTAGCTAGCAAGAACCTAAAGCCATAGGCCATACAGTTTGTAATTAATATAAGCCTCTGAGTGATTATTTTATAAGTGGCTTCCAGACCGTGGGTGGGAGAGATTCATCCCAACCACTGGGCCAGGCAGGACCAGGGAAACGTCTGGCTACAGGGGAATATTATTTTAAGGTGTGTTACTTTTGTTTATGTTGCATTTGTTTAACTCTGTGAAGCTGTGTTAATGTGCCTGTCTAAAACACCTGGTGGTCTAATAAAGAGCTGAACGGCCAATAGAGAAGGATAGGCGGGGCTGTCAGGCAGAAAGAATTAATAGAAAGAGAAATCTGGGAGAGGAGAGATCGATAGGAGCAAGAGAGGGAGGAGGACATCAGGGGTCAGCCACCCAGTTATACAACCAGCAACGGAGTAAGAAAGAAAGGTATACAAAAATAGAGAAAGGTAGAAACCCAGACGCAAAAGACAGATGGGTTCATTTAAAGTTAAGAAAAGCTGGCAAGAAACAAACTAAGCTAAGGCCAGGCATTCATAATTAAGAATAAGCCTCTGTGTGTGATTTGTTTGGGAGCTGTGTGGTGTTCCCCGCACCCCCCCCCCCAAAAAAAAAGCAAAAACAACTAACAACATTTTGGTGTACCAACATGGCACTCGAATTTCCATAGTGCCTGAGAAAGCTTTAAAAAAAAAAATGGCTCTTTTAAGAGTTTCTGCTGGACAGTTACTGCCAGACAATGAGCGCACTAGCCAAAAAGTGCCTGCCATGGTGCAGGGCACCAGCATTCCATAGCTGGGAGGGTTGAATGTAGCTCCTGAGCAAATGCACCTCCAACCAGGCCACGAGACTTAGGCTTGGCTTTCACGACCTGAGAAACAGGTGGAGTCTGCTACCAGAGCCACAGGCAGAGGTCCCAAACTGCTCTGCTTAGCAGGGTTTTTTGCTCATCCAGACAAAGAATGCTAAAAGGTACACAATAAAAGTGGTCCAGACAGGAAAACCTCTAAACAGATTACAATGTGCTTAACAATAGGCATAGGCTTAAGAAAAGAAAAAAGGTATAGTCATAGAAAAAATGAATAGTTAAATAATAAAGTCTTGAAAGAGAGAATAAAAATAGTATCAAAGGAAAAAGCCACATAGAGATGGGAAATACACACAGAGTCTGGATCCTGTATGTTATTGTGTTGATTTTGAATTTTCTGATTGTTGAGAAGCAAAAGACAGTTGCTAGGACACCTGGGATTGTGAACAGGACTGCAAAATTAAACCAACCTAGATGCTTTAGGGCTATCTTAACTTTAAAAAAGAAGTAAAAAATGTATTTTTCAAATGGAAGTAAAAAATGCTTTGGAGTTTTGTTCCCACAGGAGATGAGAGGCTATGGATTCCTTTAGGAATGATATGGATCAGGTTTGATGAGGGGAGACCTCTTGAATCTTGACAGGTGATATCTATCAACAAAGTTACTGCTGGTCTTCCCAGGACTTGGTCATTATCTCAAAATTTTCTTAGGGATCCCTTAAGATGCTTTTGTCCATAGTCAGCAAGAAGCAGTTTAGAGAAAATTATACCCACATTCCCAAGAGTTGGGGGGTATGTGTGACTGTTGGTTATTTGGTAGATTATGGATGTTTGTTATCATTTAGAGGAATATAGAATATTGATACAAATTTAAAGTTATTTTTGTTACACTGTATATATGTTTCTACTCTTGTTTGAGGTATTGTGCCTATGCAGTTCATTTTGAAATGTAGGGTGAAGTTCTAGCTTTTGAAAGCTATTATTATAAACTATATAGGATAATCAGGAAACATAGGTTAGTGGTTAGCCATTTATAACAATCAAAATTGTAGATTTTAGGTATGCTTTCCAGATCATATAGAGATATAATTTGGATAGATAGATGATCTTCAAACCTTTCAAAGACCTACAGAATATGACATTTAAAATGTTTTATTAACTTAGAGCTTTTCATGACAATGAGACAACTCTGCTCCTGGCAGTATCAATTTACTTCAGAGATGATGGGCATCAAAGAAACTCCTCATGGAGTTTGTTTTCAATGTGGCAAGGTTAGCCATCAGGCAAGAAGCTGCTCTTGCCTAGACCGATTGACAGTATGTTGTATAAATTGGACATGCAGGGCTCACAGGACAGTGACCACTGAACTTTGCCAAAACAAGGTGGGATGGTCCTTCAGGGTTCCTGATTCACACAAGAAACTGCCAGACATTCCACAGGACATAGAGGAAAGTGACTGACAAGCTCTGCCAATTTAGGCCAGAAAGTCTTTCAAATTCCCTGCTTCATTGAAAAGTCTGCCAGATACTATGGGCCTGTAGGCTGAAGATGGATGTCCCAATGTTGTAGAGGAGCTTTTGGTGACTGTCCAGGTAATCAGATGTCTCTGTCATTTCTAGAGTTTTTGGAAGTTGTTTGCAATGCACTTTTTGTTTACTTAAATAATATTATATCCTTCTGGGGTCTTTGATGGAGTTCAAGACTAGATAGTTATAGTTGCAATTTTCCTTATATATGATAGAAAGTAAGTTAGGTATAAAATTTTAAATTTACTAAGATAGGATAGATTATGGAGTATTATCTTTACATGTACCAGACACAAATGAATTGGAATTCAGTAAATTGTGAATGTAATCTTTACTTGATAATTGTTCTTATTGTATACAGTCTTACTATGCTAAGGTTAAAACCTTTTATTTTTGTTTAGAAAAAAAGGGGGAAGTATTGGAGAATATTTTTTTTAAGATGTGTTACTTTTGTTTATGTTGCATTTGTTTAACTTTGTGAAGCTGTGCTACTACTGTACCTGTGTAGAATACCTGATAGTCTAATAAAGAGCTGAACGGCCAATAGCAAGGCAGGAGAAAGGCTAGGCAGGGCTGCCAGGCAGAAAGAATTAGAAGAGAAATAGAAAGAGAAATCTGGGAGAGGAGAGATCTCTAAGAGTGAGAGAAGGAAGAGGACATCAGGGGTCAGCCACCCAGTTATACAACCAGCAACGGAGTAAGAAAGAAAGGTATACAAAAATAGAGAAAGGTAGAAACCCAGACGCAAAAGACAGATGGGTTCATTTAAAGTTAAGAAAAGCTGGCAAGAAACAGGCCAAGCTAAGGCCAGGCATTCATAATTAAGAATAAGCCTCTGAGCTGGGCGGTGGTGGTGCATGCCTTTAACCCCAGCACTCGGGAGGCAGAGGCAGGTGGATCTCTGTGAGTTCGAGGCCAGCCTGGTCTACGGAGCCAGATCCAGGAAAGGCGCAAAGCTGCACAGAGAAACCCTGTCTCAAAAAACCAAAAAAAAAAAAAAAAAAAAAAAGTCTCTGTGTGTGATTTATTTGGGATCTGGGTGGCGGGCCCCCAAAGAGACAAAGAGTAAGAAAATAACCAACAGCAGGTTTTGTTTGCTTGTTTGTTCGTTTTACCACGTTTTCAGTACCAGGGTAAATTCCTTCTGTGGAACAGGCTTCAAATCCAGTCAGGAGCTGCTGGTTACTCCCGTAAGCAGTCTGGCCACTATTACGCCAGTGGGCACATCTTGTCTGCTTGGTTGGTAGGGTCCAGGCAGTTTAGCACACATCGGCCTGGAGCTGTTGGAGATCTGAGACCTGGAGAATGAAGTCGGGTGACAAGAGGCTTGTGGCTGTAGCTGTGAAAGGAGATGTTCACAGCGTCGGGGAAAGGTTGGTAAGGCCTGAGGAACATCTTGTGCTTTCTACCCTACTCCATCAGCAATTTCTAGGTCCACATGCCTCCAAATATCCAGGAAGCCCACACAGGTTTCTCCACAGCCTAGCAGCTGGTCCCTTGCATTTCCTTTAAGCTCTACCATCACCTGTACTTCTCATTGCCTTCCTACTTACCGAGGAAGGGTCGGAGGCATAATCCAGACTCCCCCAAATTTCACCTCAGGTAGTAATCGCTATGGCCCCTCAGGAACATCTCAGTCTTTCGTCATGTGTGGTCTGATCCCTGATCTTGAGTTGTCTTCGTGGCTCTGGACCCAGTAAGACACCAGACTCACGTGTGCCCTGGAGCTGAAATGAGGGTAGACCGCCACAGTGCTCCAGAGAAGAAAGACAACGCAGAGAAGAAAGACAACGAGGCAGGGCAATGTGTTTCCTTCATTCACTGGTGTTTTGGGGAACTCCCCCCAGCTTTTGTCTTTGTCCCCAGGAGTCCTTTGGCTTCAGAGAGCTCATTCCTCAGGCGTCTTGGCTGCTAAGTGACCCCCTCACAAGCTTCAAGGAAACTGCCTTCCTGGCCCCCAAACCTTCCAGCCTTCCTTTCCTTCTTTGGTCATCTTGAAATCATAGTGTTCATTTTCGTTTTCCTGGAAATGGTTATACTGCCCAGAAAGCAAGCACATAGAGAAGTTAAGTTTCACTTTTGCTTTCTGCAAATGTATCTGTTACCCATCCCTCAGCTCCTGCCTTTCCATATACAGTATCAGCGTGTCCTTCTCTCTGGACACCTGGGCTCATCGCTCCAGACCCCACGGAGGCTCTCTCCAGCCACTGATCTCCTTGCTGTTTTCCTGAGGGAGGGCAGATCCTTGCAGCTGTTGGTGGCTGTGTGGGGGCTGCAGTGAGCAACAGACTCAGCATTTTCCACTCTTTTGGTGGAAACATCGGCTTTGGTTATTTACAGCAGAAGCTCTTTGGGGCTGGTGAGTGAGAAAAGCCTTTGCCTTCACAGCTTTGTGGGCAGAGGGCAGAGCTGGCTTGACTAAGTAGCGAGTCATGTCACCATCTTTTCACAGAAGGGAGTTGTGGGTCTGGAGCTGCCGTTTGGTGGTGCTGGGAGAGTTGTGAAAAAGTTTGGGCCCGAGCAGAATGTTTATGGGAAACCATGCAGTACTCACTGTAAAACAGCTTCCTGTTCAGAGTCTCGTACTTCACTGCCAGGGAGCTATTGGCACAACTCTGTGAGTTTTTCATAATTAGCAAAAATCTAAGTAATGTTTTAACATTGGTACATGAGTAAAACCTGTTTGCTGAGGTCTGATAATGTCTGTCCTTCTCTATAAGAAGGCATCCTTTTCCATTTTCATACATTCACAGAATACACCCGAGAGTAAATGTGTCTGTTTTTAAAGATGCTCAAAGATCTCTGCTCAGTCTAACACTCACCTTATATCATTAGTAATCAGAAATAAACTAATTTTTCTTCCCATTCCTGCTCCTTCTCCTTGCTCCTCCTCCTCCTGGCTTTCCTCCTCCCTTTCCTTCCCCTCTGTGTCCTCTTTCTTCTTTGCTCTGGGATTGAATCTTGGTCTTCACACACGTTGGGCAAGAGCTCTACCACTAAACCAGTCCCAGCCCTTTTATTGTTTACATCTTTAATTTTTAAAAAAATGTACGTGTGTGTGTGTGTGTGTGTGTGTGTGTGTGTGTGCATGTGTTTGTGTGTGGTGTGTGCATTTGTGTGTGTGTGTTTGTGTGTGTGTGTGCATTTGAGTGCATGTGTTTGTGTGTGTGGTGTCACACAAGTGCTATGTGTAGAGGTCAGAGGACAATCCTGGGGCGTCAGACTTGCCTTCTCCCTTATGGGAACTGGGTCTCTCTTGCTTCCGTGGCTGGGCTGTGCACTCTAGGGAGCTGACCCGTGGCCTCCATACCTCATTCTTCCTTGGCTGTCAGCTCAAAGTAGGAGCGCAGTGGCTACCGCTGTGAATCATCATAGCTGGCCTCTCACGGGGTTCCAGGGGTCACAGGTTGTCAGACTTGCTCCACGAGTGGTTTTACCCACTGACCCATCTTCCTGGCCCTGTTTTTACTTTTCACTATCAATAAAATTATTTTATTGTGGTCACTGACAGCATGCGCTTGGTAAGGCAATTGATTGTGTCATTGTTTGGTTTTTTTAAAATATTACTTAAATATGCATTAAAGTAGGTTTACATTTAAGAATTTTTATATTAAAATTTTCTGCGAACAAGATCCTTTCTTAATACATTTTCCTATATTGTTTCATACCTAAACAATCTACAAACCTATAAAACTATCAACGCTAATGACCTGGAAGCCGATGTACATTTTGTAGTTAGAGAAGGGCATCCACTTTGGTTTTATAAATTATGTGCAGTGTCCACACTGTTTATCATCAATCAAATGCTGATCACATATTGTTGTCTCCCAACATGGTCTGCTGAGAGTGACTCTTTTCTTGGTAGAGACAACATGTGGTCTTAAAACCATGAAAATGGCCAAAGCCAATTTTTTTAAGGCAAGATTTTACTATGTTACCAATGTAGCCACCGCTAGCCTTGAACTCACAGTTCTTGTTTCAGGTGCCTCCCAAGTACCTAGTGCACTTATGTTACTTAGCCAAAGCTGATGTTTGTTTAAAAACAGCAGAGAAGGTGACTATTTAAATATTCTGTCTTATTAAAACCTCAAGATAACAAAATGCTACACAGAAAGTGAATGCTTCTATCATCATTTAAAGATTTGTTTATTTTTATTTTATGTGTTTAAATGTTTTGCGTGTGCACATGTGTGTGCACCATGGGTGTGCCTGGTGCTGTCAGAAAAGGGCACTGGAGCCTTGGAACCAGAATTACGGAGTGTGGGTGCTCTGGAGGAGCAGCAGGTGCTCCTAATGGCTGATCCAGCTCCCCAGATCCCTCTATCATCATTTAAATGGTATCAGCTAAAACAAAATTTAAGAATCAATAAAACAGATTAAAACTACATTGCAAAGCAAAACCCACTGGGATTCCGTTATAGAGGCAGAGCTCAACCACTACCATTCTGGAGTTTCCAGAATTTATTTTTGAAAAATCACTTTGGTGAGTTATGGCTTACAGGTAGAAATAACTACACTGTTATTTTAGAAAGGCATACTTAAATTCCCAATGCACACTTCATTAGTTTTTGTTTACTGAACTGGAATTTATTACTTTTTCAGAAAATATGGCATATCTTTTAAAATATACATATTTAGTGATTAAATAACCATTCAAGAGTTATTAGGTTAAAAAGAAAGAAAGAAAGAAAGGAAGGAAGGAAGGAAGGAAGGAAGGAAGGAAGGAAGGAAGAAAGAAAGAAAGAAAGAAAGAAAGAAAGAAAGAAAGAAAGAAAGAAAGAAAGAAAGAAAAAACAGTGTCTTCAGGACACAACAGGACTGACTGTGAACTCTGATTGTGAACACATGAACTCTCAGAGTCTACGGCAGCACATACACGCTGCACAGGTCCAAGCCAGTCGGGCTCCCAGCACTGAGATGGGGAAGTAGACGTGAGCTCCCATCCTCAACCAAGAAGCTCTCTGCAATTAACAAGCAAAGCAAAGGAAAAATTAATTTCTCCAAGGGGGTCTCACTGGGTATACAAACTATTTTCAAGGGCAGGCTGCATGCCCTGCAGTAGATGGCCAACACAGAATGAACTTAAAGGTTTATTGGGGTTTTTGTTTGTTTGTTTGTGTGTTTTTTCCCCTGAGACAGGGTTTCTCTGTGTAGCTTTGCGCCTTTCCTGGAACTCACTCTGTAGACCAGGCTGGCCTCGAACTCACAGAGATCCGCCTGACTCTGCCTCCAGAGTGCTGGGATTAAAGGCATGTGCCACCACCGCCCGGCTTATTTGGGGAGTTTTTTGTTCTGTTTGCTTGTTTGTTTTATTACATATTGCTTTATTTGGGCTTTTTTCTTTTTTAACCTTTCTGGTCTCTTGATTATATATTGTGCTTTACAATTTTAAGTTTCTATGGGGTGTGTGTGTGTGTGTGTGTGTGTGTGTGTGTGTGTGTGTGTGCATGCATTTCTCATTCTCTTTCTTAGTTTCTTTTTGTTTGTTTGTTAGTTTGTACATTTTAAAAAACCCTTGTCTTTTTAATTTGCCTGTTTTCTTAGAGGAGAATCAGAGAAGGAATGGAGCTGGAGGGGCAGGGAAGTGGGGAAGATCTGGGAGGAGATGAGGGAGAGGAAACTCTGATCAGGATATAGTATATGGAAATAACTTTATTTTCAATAAAAATTATTAGGTAAGCATTCTGTGTACTTTTATATAATGAACATAAAAAGGAATGTTACATGTTGGATATTTCACTTTGCTCATTTATTCTGTAGGTCTTTTATGGGTGTAAAGCTTAGAAAGAAAAACTTCCTTAAAATTCTCATTAGATTCGGATGGTTCAAACCACTAGTAACACTAAGCTCAACTCTGACATTACCTTTAAAGTAGAAGTTTCTAGAAGTTTTATTTCTTAATTTAATGATCTGGTTTACAGCAGTTAACTAAGTCAAGATTTTTTTTTTTTAAGAAAGTATTTTCTGTTGAAGCTCAGAGTGGAAGAAATGTTTTCTGTGTGCTCTTGCCTTGAAAAATAAGATTGTGTAGCACAAAGAGAAATGGATAAAATTTACAAGTAGTTCCTGGCATCCTGCCAGCTTTCAGTCCGATGCAGCAAAGTCCACAACTGTCACGTGGGAACATTTCAGGACGGAATTTCACAATGGAAGTGTCAACAAGTCATATCTGCTGTCCTAACTAGGAGGTTCCACTAACTTAAGGCACGGCAGAGGCGTGTATCTGGCAGACAGGCTGTCGCTATGAATGAGGAACACGTAACACATAGCAAGGCATAGGGGCCAGTAAGAACACAGTAATAAGACCTACTAGAGACACATCTCTTAGTTCTCTCTGCCATCCACTTTCCACCGACCTACACAGCTACAGCTTTATAATTCCTCCGAGAAGGAAACATCTCCCACACTACTGCACGAAGCAATTTCACTGCACATTCTATACTGCAGTGAGACCTTCAACTTCTCTTGCAGAGCTTGGCCTGTCTCAGCGGGATGTCTTTGGAAGGCCAGCTTCTCCTGCTTCCCCAGCTTCTGGGTCCACTCCTTGTTCCTAAAGTTGTATGCAGAGTTCGTGTGTGTAAGCCAGTGTTCAAAATCTGGGCTCTCTCACCTTATTTAGATTTGCTGCAGTGGCGGTGGCCATGGTGAGGCCACTTCTCACCAAGAAGCAGTCCCAGAGAGGCAGGAGAAGGGCCTGGCCTGGAGTCAAGACCTTCCTTTGTCCTGGGCAAAGGGACAATTTGCTTATGTCAGGGAGGCCCCTGCCTGCAGCCTAAGGGTGGCTTGATTTGTACTTTTTAAATTTTGCAGTAGTCTTCCTGATTTGCTCAAGCTGCTCATGAACTCACTTTGGAGCCCAGGCAGGTCTTGAACTTGCCACCCTCCTGCCTCAGTTTCCTGACTAGTCAGGATTATAGGCCACAATAAAATTAATATGTTCATTTTATTTTGTTTTGTCTGAAAGTTAAGAGCATGTCTTTCTTCTCTTGATCATTGTTTCTGAAGGATCTGTGTGAGGCAGGAGACACTTGTTCTCCATTAGATGAACCCTTCGTTCCTGTCTTAAGGACACTAATGTGTTAGTGTATTTGAGGTTTGCTAATTAATGCAATTTGATCACTGGCCATTGCATACTTGTGTGGAAATATCACCAGTTCCCACTCACAAATATGGGCAGTTTTTAATGGGGCAATTGAAATAAGAGAAATTTATTCCCTTCAAGTATTGGAAGCCAGAAATCCAAAATTAGTTCAAAATTAAATGTGCAGTTGAGTCCATCTGGATGATGCGAAGTATTGACCCCATCTGAAAATCGTCAGTCACGACAGCCAACTCACTTTTGCTGTGTAAATTATATATTCACAGACTCTGGGGCTATGATGTGGGGACATCTTTGGGGTCATGATTCTGACACTGCAAGGAGGGCTACCCTCTTCTGAACTGGAGATGCAGAAACTGACAAGACAGAAAATAGCTGTGTCTTCTTCCGGGGTGACACCTAAACTCACCAGGAATATAAATGAGGTACAGAGCCATGAATCAGTCCGTGAGGATAGGAGTGGCCTCCAGGGGCCACTGTGTCCTGAGGGGTGAGTTTCTGTTTTACCACTTCACTCTCCTTACCTGTCTGGTCTTTCTCCTTTCTCACAGATCTTCTACAGTGACGACCATGGATCAGTTCATCTCAGCCTTCCTGAAGGATCCGTCAGGAAAGAATTGCCAGCAATTGGCTGTGGAATTCTTACCTCACTACTCTACATTAATCAGTAAGGCAGGAGGCATGCTCTCTCCAGAAACTCTCAGTTATATTCAAAAAGCCCTCCAGGAGGGAAAGCTGACGGACATGGTGAGCCAGATTCAGGAAGCACTAACTGCCGCAGAAAACGCTTCCCTGGAGATCGCTGTCATTGGGGAATCTGGGGCTGGCAAGTCCAGTTTCATAAATGCCCTGCGAGGGCTGAGCCATGAAGCAGAAGGGTCAGCTGGTGTAGGGATTGTGGAGACCACTATGAATAAAACCCCCTATCAACACCCAAAATATCCCAAAGTGATGTTCTGGGACCTGCCTGGGACTGGGACTCCCAATTTCCTCCCAGACACTTATCTAGAAAAAGTGGGATTTGCTAACTATGACTTCTTCTTCATCATATCTTCCTCTCGGTTCAGCCTTAATGATGCTATCCTGGCCCAGAAAATCAAGGATGTGGGGAAGAAATTCTACTTTGTTCGAACCAAGGTGGACAGTGACTTATATAACGAAGAGAAAACCAAACCCAAAACCTTCAAAAAGGAGAAGGTCCTTCAGCAGATCCGAGACTACTGTCTGGCTAACCTTATCGGCGTTGGAGTGTCTGAACCCCGCATCTTCTTGATCTCCAACTTTGATCTGGCTGACTTTGATTTCCCAAAGCTGGAGCAAACTCTGCTGCAGGAACTCCCTGGGCACAAGCGCCATATGTTTGCACTGCTGTTGCCCACTATCTCTGATGCTTCCGTCGAGATGAAGAGACGTTTTCTCAAGGAGAAGATCTGGCTGGAGGCCTTGAGGTCAGCAGCTGTGTCGTTCATCCCCTTTGCGACCTTCTTGAGTGGCTTCGATTTGCCTCAGCAAGAACAGTGCTTGAAGGAGTACCGAAACTACTTTGGCTTGGACGACACATCGATTGAAGAGATTGCTGACAAGCTCAGCAAGTCCGTGGAAGACATCAGGGGCTGCCTCAAGTGCTTGGATTTCTGGTCCCTTGTAAAGGATGACAGCATGGCAGTCAAAGCCGCAAAGTGTGCTGAATCTTTTTATGCCGTGAAAGGAGGTCCTGAGTCTTCTGTCATCCAGGGTGTGAAAGTCTACTTTCTACGCTTAAAATTCCTTGACACGGTGGCTGATGATGCTAGGCATCTCTTGAACAAGTTATAAACAGTAAATATTGCCTAACTAAACAGTAAATGAATTTAAGGGCTTGTGTGTTTCAAGTTGGGAAGGGGGGTTTCCTTCCTCCAGACTCCCAGGCCAGCTCTTCCCTAAGGTGCACAGATGTCTGTCCCATGGAGGAGGTCCATTGCTTGCCTTTAGAGGTCACTCCCATGTGGGAATTGTTGTTTGACCCTAGCTTGTTTTCTGCGTTCATTGATTTATCATGCTTGATCTCCAGCAGTAACACACCCCCTGCTTTCAACTATTCTCTGTGCTAAGAGAGAACCTGTTGCTGATCCACTTATGCTGGAAAACACACACACACACACACACACACACACACACACACACACGCGCACACACACACACACGCGCACACACACACACACACACACACACACACACACACACACACACACCAAAGCAAAACAAAAAACCAGTTTGTAATAGCAAAATGAGAATTATACATTACCATTTCCCAATTCTTTCTCAGTTAACATCTCAACACCCTCCTCATCAAAATAAAGGATGTTCTATAAATATGAGAACACTATTAAATGTTTAATAAAATGTTTGCAGTGGGAAAATGCAACATGATCAGGAGGTGGTGACAAGATAAAGTAGTGAAGTAGGAGCTGAAGGGACACTAGCCCACTCGAAGGGACATTAGCCCAATTAGCACACTCAAAGGGACGCTAGCCCACTCGAGCATGTGGCTCTGGCAGGCCTTGCCCTTCTCTCCCACTCTTTCTGCCTTGCTAAAAACTGTTAGATCACATTCTAAAGCTAGCCACTAAGGTCTATTCTCTTATTTGACCACTTCCTCCTCCTGAGGCTCACTGCCAAGGTCCAGCTATCGAAATGTTGAAGTCCAGCAATCAAAAGCCCCCTTTGGCTCACCTAATTAACATGCCCAATTAAAATTAAACACCTCGTCCTAACATGAGGTTTCCCATTTTACCTTTATAAACAGCCATTTGTTTTATGTGTGGCATCTGTCCCCTCTCTATCCAGAGGCGGTCCTTTGTCCCTCTGAGACAAATTCCTTGTCCCCTTTCCCTTGTTCCCGTCCCCTTCTCCCTCATCCCCTACCTTCTTTACCACCACATCCTAGCACATTCTAACACAGCTTTTTTTCTTAAAAATTACACTTGAAAAGTCATTTGCTGCTGTTTTTCTGCATGAGTAAGAAGGCTGCCACTTTAACTTTTCTTCCCAGTTCAATAAAGGATCTCTCTGTGAAAACAAGTGTTTGTGTTTAATCTGGGGTCCAGGAGGAAGCCCCCACTGTGTGCAGGGTTGGGTTGGAGTGTCGTCTTCTTCTGGAGAAGATCCAGGAAAGATCATAACACATAAGAGATTGGGGTGGCGAACACTGGGTGTGTCTGTAGCTAGGAGCCCTGCACACTAATGTAAGAATAGGTATGGCTGATTGCAGGAACAGCAGAAATCTGATAGAGACTAAGGGGATGGAAAGGGTGTGGAGAGGGTCTTGGAGCCATTTCAAAGAAGGCCTTGCTAGGACTTTGTTTCTTCCTCAAGGGAGGCAGAAGGCAGGCTGGGTAGAGGAACAGGCTGGCATAGTGTCCCCAGAAGAGGGTCCCTGGTGTCTACTGAAGCATGCTTGTGGGGAGACCAGGGCGTCACCTGGGCGGCTCTCTGCATTCATCCCAGATGAGGTCACAGTGGTCGGGAGATAGTGATAAAAAACAAAGTGTCTGCTGGGGGAGTAAACATGGAATATGAAGTAGTAGCAATGGCAGCCGAGAGGCTGGGAGGAAGGATTGTGTGGGTGACCCCTGTATGACCTGGAGGGCAGCATCACTCCTACCTGACATGGAGGGGAGTGGAAGGAGCTGAAGCAAGGAGAGGAATCTGAGGTTCAACTGCATTCACAGAGTCGGAATCTTCCTAGACATACATACCAGAAGGAGGTGCTGTGTAGATAGTCTGATAATTGAGGTGGTGGGGAGGGATCCCGGAAGATCTAGGATGGGTTGAGTTAACCAAATGGGTGAGTGGATACAGCAGGATCAGAGTCTGGACACTCCACAGACACCTCAACTTTCAGGTCTCATTGTGGAGAGATTATACTGGACTTATGCACTTATTGTTTCATTTTCTTAAAAGCTGGTAATTCATTGTTTTTTTTTTTTTAAGTCTTTCTTTTGCCTTTGGGATGAAGTGTCTTCTCAAGTGCCACTGTCCTTCCTTCATGGTTTGAGGCTCATATTGCAAGCTCATTAACAAATCCCATCTTGAGGCTGAAGTTTTGGTGGTAAGTGTCACAGAACCTTGACTAGGACCCATCCTTTCTTTTTCCTTGGCCTGAGATATGGCCACAGTGTCTCTACTTCAAGGCAACCGTCCTGGAGCAACTCCAAACAAAGTGGTGGAGAAGCACATGGCTGTCAAGTGCTCTCCTTCTGGAAGGTGTGAAAGGGTTGGGTTTGGAGTGTTTATAATGAAACACTTAGAAGAAGCCCTTAGGAGGTGTCATCTAAGGGTTCGGGTGTGGTACCCCCAGTTTTCACCTCAGGGTCTCTGACTGGGCATCAGAAGGGGTTTTGAAACTTCAGTTAGAAAGGACTAGTGAGATTACTCAGTAAGAAAAGGGCTTTTGCCACACAGACTTGCTGGAGACCTGAAATCGAACTCCTGAACCCATGTAAAGGAGGAAAGAGAGAATCAACTCCACAGGATTGTTCTCTGACATTCATACACATGCTATGGCATAACCACAAAACACGTTCACAAACAACAACAACGAGAGCGATAAATACAAAAATTAAAAAGACCAATTAGATGACAGTGACCCTGTGCCTGCTGCAACCTAACAAATGTAAAGATAAGAGTTAGGTTACCTAGCTGAGAGTGGACACAATCCAAAAAAGCCAGAGGAGAAAGCTTGCTGGAGTGAAGTGAGGAGGTGTGTGGTCCATGTGTCCTATCTGACTCACATGCAAGAGAAAGAGCTGGTGAGGAGTCATCACAAGTCCCTTCCTGAGGCATTCTGGGAAGGCTAGCTTCAAATGTGATGTGCATATGAGAAAAAATTGCTATTAGTCTTGCTGGCTCTCTCATACGTGGAGCCCAGATTTAAAATGATATGTTTGTGTGTATACGAGTGTGTGTGTGTGTGTGTGTGTGTGTGTGTGTGTGTGTGTGTGTGTGTGTGTGTGTTTATACTTGAAAATGTGTAGGTCATGAAACCAGAAAGGGGATCGTGAAAGGGGAAGAGATCTTATGGATAGCGGGAACCAGAGATGGTAGTGGAATACACCCAAAACAAAAGCAGAACTGCAAACTAGCTGGGGAAAGAGAGGGAACTGGATGTGGGGAAGGGGTCATGGGGGATGGCAAGGGGGGAGGAAAATGAATGTGCACAAAGTGTAATGACGTGTATGGAGGGGCTGCAATTCAGCCCTTACTTTGTACGCTAGCCTAAAGCATTGATTAAAATTAACCTTCCTTGTTTTTAATGCCTTTGCTTCCAACTCACCAGATCCACGAGAGAATGTCAAAAGTGTTCCTGAAATGAAGCACACGAAACCCATTTCAACTTATCTTCCACCAGCCCCTCCAAGGCCAACACCCAGAGGCCTCTCACTTTTCCATTAGAAACCATTCCCACTCCCCCACCTACCTACTCTCTGCCAAATGTTAAACACAGGCTGGCCAACTTCCTTGTTATAGCAAGCTCTGAGTAAATAGCCCGTGTTTGCTTTCACTTTTGATGTTTGTTTCTACAGGTCAAAAAGGAAGCTAGGAACCGAATGAAGATGAATTACATAACAGCAAAATGCATGGGACCCAGCTGAAGTCGGCCTGATAGAAATGTACAGCTTCAAATATCTGTATTAACAATACCAGACAGGGTGGACTTGATAAAGAGTCATGATTTTTTAAAAAGATTTATTTATTTATTATGTATACAGTGTTCTCCCTGCACATAATGCCTGCATGCCAGAAAAGGGAACCAGATCTCATTACAGATGGTTGTGAGCCACCATGTGGTTGCTAGGAACTGAACTCAGGACCTCTGGAAGAGCAGCCGGTGCTCTTAACCTCTGAGCCACCTCTCCAGCCCAGCCATGATGTTTTATAAGACCTCAAACCAACAACCTATTCCAACCCCATTAAGAAACTCAAAACAGAAAAGCAAACTCAGAGAAAGTGGGGAAATAAAGATCTGAACAGACAGAAAATATTGGCAAAAACTAGCCAAAGTTGGTTCTAGGGGGGAAAATTAATATAATTTACAAATCATTAGCTAAAGTCTAGCTAGACTAATCCAAAGAAAGACATACATGACCAAAATCGGAGATGGATGGGGCTGGCATTGCTGGATCTGCAGAAATGAATGAATTCTAAAGATCTGTGGAAGTCTTTGCTTAACAAATAAGCCAACATAGATGAAATAATAAAACTCCTAGAAATATACATGATGAAAGATGAAGACTTAATAGAAATCTGAAGAGTCTGTACCAAGTAAACACTCTGAATTAATGCTTTTTAATCTTCTCACAGGAAAGTCCAGTATATGGATATCAGTTCTACACTATATGTTCACTAGCTAGAAAAAAAAGAGCTGGAATAATGTTTCTATAAGGAAATGATAAATATCTGAGAAACTAGGTATGTTTAAGCAGATTTAGACACAACATATACATGCATTGAAAGATTACATGGTACCCTGTTAATTTTTGTTTTCTTATATTAGAAGTGCTTTGTGGGTATGTGTGGTACACTCAAATGTTTGTGTATTTGGCCTCTTGGTTTGCCCATGAAAGTGAGGGAGCATCTCTCAGGAAAGCTATTGCCAAGGCATGTCCTGAGCCTCTAAGTCTACTTGTGGGAGCTTCATCATTGAACGAGTCTTGAGGAACTCATTCACTACTCCCAGGATCAGACGGAGATCCTTGGCATTGGACCGAGAACCAGGTCTCCTCCTGCACTTATCAGCATTCACTGCAGGGAGACCTCTGAGGCCCTGCAGAGCCCAAGGCAGTGGTGCTGTCGCCATCACTGGAGCATGAACCCTTTGCTGGGTCTTCCAATGTCAACATGAAGGGTTGGATACTGTCTCCTCGGCAATTCCTAGTTGACCTTGATTTGCCCTCTGTACCAGATGGGGGCTTAGCCAAAGTCTCTAAACCTTCCATATTCATGGACTCTCGAGACCACAGTCACTGTTCACAGCCAGCCTTAGCCGACCATTGTCTCCCCACATTGCTGTCTTTGTGAATGACAGTGACTGATTGCAATTACTGATTAGCTGCCTTTAGTGACAGTTACTGATTGCAAAGATGCTGTTCATTTTATGTGTATAATTCTCAGGTGACTACTCAGCTCCACACACTGAAGTAACCAAATGAACAGGATGCAGAGGCTTCTGGGCATGAAGGAGAGCCCAAGAATTGACCTGCCCAGGTCACCTTATGTATGAGTCTCCAGTTCTATGGGCATCTGATTGCTGCCGCAATGGGTGCTCACTGTCTCAGGACTCCCAGGCAACTATTGGTGGCAACTATTAGTCTGTCATGAGGACATCCTCAGGTATACCTTTGACAGCTTCCCCACTCCAGTTCCCTCTTCTTCAGTTTATCCTGGACAGGCTCCCATCTTTTGAAGAGTTCTTAGGTGGAGGAGAGAGGAATTAAGAAACGATAGAAAGAGAGACCTAGATGATGAGAAGAAAGACAGAAACACAGGATAGCTTCGGGAAAGCCTGAGTCAATAACTGACAGCAGCTTCTTTTATGCACAAGGGATTTTTATAATAATGCCAAGGGGAGAGGCAGAAGATCTTCCCCCTGCAAGATCAAAGCATACCATACAGCGAAGTGTAGATTCTTCAAAACATCTGGTAGCCATGGCTGTGGTCACATCATCCCCTTATGCAGCCCTGCTGGGTAAAGCAAGCCCAGATTCTCTGACCCTGAGTAATTTCTCACTAGGAAGCCTCTGTGGCCTCCCCACAAAGGCTATGTTCAAATCTCTATGAAAATGTTTCTGGCTGTTTTATTGATAACAAAAGCTCATATTTCAGCAATAACAGTGAAGAAAACCTAAGCAGAACAATGTCTAACATCACCTCTTAAAACAAAAGTTAACCTGGGCATGGTGGTGCATGCCTGCAAATCCAAGACTTGAATCGTACAAACAGGAAGATCAGGTGTTCAGGGTCATCCTGGTG